GCCGCCCCAGAGGCCCCCGGGAGCCCCTGCTCCCGCCGTGGTCACAGCCTGGCAAAGCCCCCCCCAGGACAGGGAGGTGGCCCCCCACCCATTTTCTCACCAGCAGGAGTAGCTGGCTAGGTGGCCCCTGGGATGCGGGGGTCTAAAGACCCCTATTCAGAGTGACCGCCCTTCACAGGGAGCCACAGAGCCTCCTGCCGGGGGTCTGGGCCCTGGGCAGGGTCAGCGAGGCAGGAGTGCCGCTCTGAGGAGTGAAGGGCTACGGCCAGTCCCCCTCAGAGGTGGAGCTGGTGGTCTGAGCTGCGGGGCCCCAGCAGGTCTGCCCTGGAGTGGAGGCTAGGGTGGGCGAGGCTTCTGGAAGACCTCTCTGATCCTTTCTGGAGTACCTTTTCACCTGGTCCCAAGTCTGAGGGAGGAGACAGCTCTGCCAACCCTTAAGGGCTTGCGACTCAGGGATTTCCTTTGGGACTCCACAGCCGCTCCCCAAGCTGAGGGCTGGCACAGGTGTCAGCCAAGCTGCAGTTGTGATAGGGGACACCAGCGTCCCGGGGGCCGGACAGAGGCCCCAGAGTGTGGGGACCTCTCTGTCCAGATCCATCTATCTCCACCAGTGGCCCCCCAGGCTGCAGCGAGGCCTTCACGGCCAGAGGGCCCTCCTCCTGGGGCAGCTTTGGCGTCCTGGGAAGGCCCAGCAGACGGGCCCAGCCACATTCACAGCCTCTTTGGAGCTCACGAGGAGGGAGTAGCTGGGATGAGGAAAAGATGAAGCTAGAGGCTCCTGGGGGACCCACTGCCCAGGGACAGCAGCACGACACAGGCTGTTTCTAAGTCACGCTGTGCCTGGGGCTCCCGCTGCAACGCCCGCCTGCCTGCAAGTTGGCCAGGGTGGCGGTGCATGAGGCCGCCAGCATGTGCGGCTCCACCCAAGAGCCCAGGCCACTGTCCTGGAGGAGTCAGTGCATGGGGACGCAGCCCAATATAGCTGTTCAGGGTGACCAGCTAGGGGGCGAAGGTCCCTCATACTCTATGAACACATGTCTCTGCCAGATGTCCCAGTGTGGAGGGGTCCCTGGTCCAGCAGCAAGGCCCTGCTGCGGAGCATGTTGCCATGTGGCCTCTACCATCCCTCCAGCATTGGATAGGGGAGAGCACAGAGGGGTTGAAGACTGGTGGCCAGCTGCTTGGTTTGAGGCTGGGGACGGGTGGGTCCCAGCCTGGGTCCATCTTTGGCTCCTGCTGCACTTAATAAATGCTTTTAACCGGAGACCCCACAAAGGAGGCTCCCTGCCTGGGAATGCCAGTGTGGGTGGTGAGGACACGGTCTTGGCCATGGTGACTCTAGACAGTCTAGGACAGATGTGGATGTTGGAGGAACAGGTGACCCAGGAAAAGCGCGGACAGCAGTTGTGTGCTCATGAAGGGCTGGGCTGGCCCAAGACACGCACAGGGGCCGGCATGAAAAGGGCTGCATGAGAGGATGTGGTGTGTGCCCAGGCCTGGGCCGCAGTGTGGCCTGGCTGAGTCTCAAAGGAGCACATCCACCCGAGACTAAAAAGTCCTTTTCTCTTCTCGTGGAAAACTTTTTAACACCCCAGTAACATGGCTTAAACTCAAGGACACCCAAAACAAAAGTCCTTTTCTCTTCTCGTGGAAAACTTTTTAACACCCCAGTAACATGGCTTAAACTCAAGGTCCTAAATGGAACGCTCTTAAGATGAAGGACAGTCTTGTGGTCTGTGCCGCTGCTTCCCTGGCCGAGGGAAAGGGGAGGCACTTTGCTGCCCGGCCGGGTCTTGGACCAGTACCGGCTGTGCCAGTGCCTGTGCAAAATCCAGCTGGAAATGTGTGGGGCTACAGGGCTGTGGGAAGGGGGCTGAGGCCCCTTGTGTAAACTGCCATGGAAATTGCCACATCTTTGACATCTGTGTCCCTGAAGAGGACAGGGTTCCTCCCTGATGCTCAGCTCATGACAAGGGTCCTCAAAACAGGGCTGGGTGTCTCCTCCTCAGTCCCCAAGGAGGGGCCAGTCCCTCTGCAGCCTGCAGCAGGCCACCAGCAGGGAGAGGGTCTCCAGGCCTGGGGAACGCTGTGTGTTAGAGAATGGGCTGGACAAGGGGGCAGCACCTGGCCAGGACTGGCCTGTCCCCACACTGGGGCACAAAGAGTAGCAGAGTGGGGAGGTGCTGGGCATTGGCTGCACGGCAGTGGGAACTGGCAGGCAGGCCTGTGCTGGGGCATCAGGGACCTGGTCTTTGCAGAAGCTTCAGAGGGCAAAATGCAGAGGAGACCATGGGAGTCAGGTTTGGGGTTAAACATGTGGGTCCTGGAGCCAGCCCTGGGCTCGAGAGTTAGCAGATCGGTGAGACAGGGAGGCTGTGAGCAGAGACTGAGTGCACATCGCCCTGTGCTGCGCCTTTGGGGTCCCCAGCCCAACATGCAGAGTGGGGAGTGGCCATTGACAGTCACATGGCAGGGAGGGAGGTGGTCCGCAGGCAGTGGCAGGGCCCAGGCTTGGCCTCTGAAAGGAACTGGGCCACAGGCTTCTGCTCATCCCAGCTGCAAACAAGCATCAGAGCCACCCTGGGGGTTGTGGGTGGGTGCTGCCTCCCTACAGGGTACTGACTTCCGGGAGGGGGGGCGCGGGCTGGGGATTTGCAGCTCTGTGTAAGCTGACCCTGCTGTGCTTGCAGGGAGACCCTGTTTGAGAATGGCAGCCCGGGTCTGAATGTGCCCATCTGCCCCCCCCCCGTGTTCCCACAGAGGCCTACCTTGGGGTGGCAGCGGGAGGGCCCAAGGTCATGTGTAGGAGTGGGTGGGTAGAGGGCTGCCTCTTCCACTCCTGGGGTGAGGAACCCACACCTCTACACGCCAGCCCCTGCTGCTTCTCTAACCTGCTGTGCCTGCAGTGCAGGGCCAGGGCTGGCTGGCTTCGCTGCCCTGGGTAAATGCCTGCCCGACCAACAAATCTTGTTTTCTCTCTTCCTCTCTTTTCCTTCCTCATTCCTTCCCTTCCTCAACCTTTCCTTTTCTGTAAGGTAAGCTGACTTCCTCTTTTTTTTTTTTTTTCCTTTCTGTAATTAAAATTCTAACCTCTGCTATGAAGGATATAGGTTCTGGGGGTGGTGGACAGGCAGAGCCAGGCCACTCAGACCTCCAAGGGGACTGCTGGGGACACAGGGGCCTCCTGCTGGGCCAAGCATCCTGGGCATTGGGGACAAAGAGGCCAGTCCTTGCTCCAGGCATTGTTACCAAGAAGTGGCCTCCCAGCCAGGGGCCAGACAGTTCAGTAGACACAGGGCGAAGGCCACTGGTGCCAAGGTCACAGTCCCAGTGGGTGGCCAGGCACCTGGCTGGGATAGGCCTTACTTCGTGGCTGGGCAACCAGGGCTTAATGGTTCCTCAGTGCCCTGCAGAGCCCTGGGTCTGTAGAAGAGGACAAGGGAGGTACCCATGCTCCCTGGGCAGCTTGGGCCTCCCTCCCTGTCAGGTCCTGTTGCTGCTGTGAGCCAGGCTGGGGCTAAGGCACAACTGCCTCGGGGCCTGGGCCTCGCCCAGGAAAGAGCTGAGGTGGGCGGGGGGGTCGGTGGCGCAGGGTTCATGGGCCCACCGCTCAGGGTGCCTCCTTCCCTCCCCACGCAGCAGCCAAGAGTTTGCTCAACAAGAAGGCAGATGGAGTCAAGGTGAGGTCCTGCAGCTCTGCACCCCGGCCAGCCTGGGAGGGGTGGGTGCCCATTCTCCCCTAACCACGCCTCCGTCTCTCCACAGCCCCAGACAAACAGCACCAAAAACAGTTCGGCCATCACCAGCCCCAAAGGGACGCTCCCTCCTGCCGCCCTGGTACGGAGCCCACAGCCCTGCCCTGTGCGCACCCCTCTGTCGGGCAGACCTGCCCCCAGGCTCCACTGCACTGGGGCTCAGGTGGGGGCTGAGTCCCCAGAGGGGAGAGGCTGCTGTCGCCCAGGGTCAGGTGCAGGGCTCTGGGGAGCCCCTCTCTGGGGCCTGGCCTCTCACCTCACCCTCTTGTGGGTCACCCTGCAAGAATGCAGCAAGAGGCTTCTGGAAATGAGTGAGGTGGGGACAAGGGGGCTCCAAGGGCCGGGCTGGGCTTCAGGGTACTGACAGCGTACGTAGCAGCCCTGAGTGCAGGGAGAAGGGCCGACGGTGTGGGGTGGGTACCCAAGCAGCAGCCAAAGTGAGGAGCCAGGATTGTCAGAGCTGGGCTGGGCTCGGGGTCCCCTGCCAGGGAGGGGAGACGCACTGTAATGCCCCTCCGATACCCCAAAAGGTATCTGGTAGCCCTGGGCCGCTGGCCCTGGGGGACTGTGTGCACCCCACCTGTGGACATGGTGCCACCTCCTTGCTGTGTCACCCAAGTGCCGTGCTGCCTTGGGGAGGTACAGTTTGCTGGAAGTGTGCTTGGGGTCCAGCTGGCTTCCAGGAGGCAGCTAAGCCTGCTTGGAGCAGTGGGCTGTGGCAGGAGGGTGCCAGGCACCTGCACCCGACATGCCGGCCTCACAGCCAGCCCCACCTCGGACTCTGTCCATCCATGTGCCATGCCCACTCCATGACATCTCTAAGCCTGTGTCCCTGTGCTGGGCAGGGCCCAGGCAGCACGGTGGGGAGAGCCCTGAGAGCTCCGTCCTCTGGGTGGGCAGGCCAGTGGGCACTGTCTCAGCCTGGGGCAGTCTGTGGTTCCACCTACCTGCTCCTCCACCCCGAGGGCCATCGCTGACCTCTGCTCCTCCATCCCTCTCAGGCCATCTTGCTGACCGCCTGCCGCCTCCATCCCTGTCCCCTCTGCTCTGCACTCTCTCGGGCGGATTCTGGCCGCCGCCCACTCCTCCTCTGTCTCCCTGGCTCCCCCCATCCCCTGCTTCCTTCTTTCTCACTCTCCCTCTTTCCTTCCTCTGTCTGCCGCCTTCTGTAGGAGCCTCAAACCACCGTTATCCATAACCCAGTGGACGGGATTAAGGTACTGCGCCGCTCTCTCCTCCTCCCCCTTCCTTGGGCAGGAGGCGCCGGGCCCAGGATGAGGGTCTGGATGGTGGCCTGGGGAGGCATTTGTGCTCAGAGTGGAGGCCAGGTGTGTGGTGACAGCAGGACACGTGTCAGAAAACCAGCTCCCACGGCTGCACCACATCAGCGCATGGGTGGTTTCAACTGGGCTCCAGGGCGTCCCTGATGCTGGGGGCCAGTCCACTTCTTGAGGACAGTGTCCCTCACTTCCGCCGCCCCCTCCCCCAGCCCCCTGTGTGGCCCCAGCGCTTCCTGCTGAGTGGACCCCCTGCTGTCTCTGCTGTGCCATCTGCTGCCATCACATCGGCATCATCACAGGGCCGGGGCGGGGCTGGCTCTCGGTGGCACTGGGAGGGAGGACAGAGGCCAGGCATTTCCAGGATGGGCAGGTCAGACTTCTGCTGGGGCCTGGGCCCCCTGACGAGCGCCCACAGGGCCTCCAAGGGCCCCTTCTTCTGGCCAGTGCCTCACCATGGCCATTATCAGAAGATAACATTTCTGAGGCAGGGATCAGGGCCAGTGGGCACCCATAGCGCTGTGCTTCCTCCTGTCTGGGTGCCAGGTGTCCCTTGGGCCCTGCGTGTCTGGACAGGGTCATGTGTGCCATGAGGGGCCCCTGGACAGTCTCCAAGGCCAGGGCTGACCCTGGGCCTGAAGACCACACTTCAGACCTGGGTCCAGAGCAGAGTCCAATTGGGGTCCAGACCAGGGCTTGGTCCTTTCAGGGCCTTCATGGTTGTGTCTTCTGAGGAGTACGGCAGGCCTCTGGGGCCTGTGGCACATGGGCATTCTTTCTCTGAAGATGACCTGAGGATCTCCCCTCTTCTGGGGGAGAGAATGCAGGTGCAGGTGCAGGTGGACCTGAGAGACCCTGTCAGGAAGCTGCTTGGCCTGTCTGCCACTGGCACAGGCCTCTGGCCACCCCTGTGTTGGCAGGAGTCAGCTGGGTCCCACTGCGTCTGGGCTCACGCAATGTTAGTTCCTCCCATGGGAGGGACTGCTGAGCACCCTGGGTCTTGGGGATATGGATGGCCACATCGGGGCATGGTAAGCCCCGGGGGCGCCCTTCTCCTCCAGTCCCTACACGGTAAGGACTTCCCCGAGCCCTGAAGGAGTGGCTGAGCTGGTCCCGTGGCTGGCCGCACCCCGCCTGGCCAGGGCCATGTCCTGACCCATGCCTCCCTGTCTCCTCAGGAGTCATCCGACAGTACCAACACGACCATGGAGGACGAGGACGCTAAAGGTACCTGCTGGGCCGTGCTGGCTGCTCCTCGGGGCAGGGGGCCTTCAGGGGTCCCGCGTCCTGTGCCGTTGGGATGTGCGTGGTGGCTCAGAGGCCAGGGGTCGTGCAGTATCCAGGGAAGAAGCCACGGCTGTGCGGTGAGACCTGCTCTCCGCTCCGGCCCAAGTGTGTGGGTTGAACTTGCTCAACATCCCATTCTTCTCTAGTTCCTTAAGCTTGTGATTCTGTCCACCTTGCACGGGTGAGTGACTGGGCAGCTGAACCTGCTTCCATGCGTCCTTTGCCAACTCAGGAGCCCTGTCCCACTGGGGCTTCTGTGCCACTCCGACCTGGGGGTCCCTCCCCATATTGACCCAGCGGTGACCTGAAACCCCCAGGAATCTGGGCATCAGCAGGCGGCTCCCCAGCCTCTCTGCTGCTTCCTCGCCTTCCCAAGACGGAGCCACACGCTTCCAGGTCCCTGCGTCAGACCCCAAATTAGACGCTAAGTTGCTGTCTTCGGGACGCCCCCAGGGGACAGATGGGGTCCTCAGCTGTGATGCTGTCCTCAGTGTCCCCACACTGCAGTATAGATGCCATGGGGCTTAGGGTCCTGGCACAGGCCAGGGCTTGTCCACAAGGCCCCCAATAAACAGTGGGATCATAGACTGAGACACGCTTCCTGTCCCAGGCCTTGCCCTCAGCTGTCCTCTAGGCACAGAGCCTTGGGCCTACAGGGGGACAGGAGAAGACAGGGCGAAAGTAGTACCTAAGGCACAGAGCCTGGGCAGGCAGCAAGGTAGGGTAGGCCCAGGACCTCTGGTAGGGCCCCGGCCACTCGATCTCAGCTTTGTCCAGGCCCCAGTGCAGGGCAGACCATGCAGCCATCAAACCATGTGACGACTGTCACTCCCACTCCTGGTTTGGTCTCATGCAGCCCTCCTGACCCCATGGTGGTCTGGGGTTCTGCAGGCATAACCTCCCTCCTGCCGTTTCTGGACCCCTGAGCCCACCCACCACCATCTCTCCCGAGTGCCACTGCTCACCCACCTGCCTCTGTGCTGCCCCAGCCTCCAGTGGCCCTGATGTCCTGAGCTCAGGGAGGAGGGGCTCAGGAGCCCCCTGCTGGCCCCACACAAGTGCTGCAGGGGTCACTTGGGAGGACCTAACAGCCCTCTGAGGAACACTGGAGATCCAGACCCGCCACCCATACCCAGCAGGGCTGCCTGTGTGAGCCCCGCCAGGGGGAAGGTGCCCCACCCTTCTTCCTGTTCGGGCGCCTGGGCTTTCCTGGGGGCCCTGAAAGATGCTCCTCGGCTCCGTGGTCACCAGGGGCCCCCTCCCACTCCTCCTGTCGGCTCGGCCACCTCCTCATTTGTCTGTCTGTCTCTGCTCATGTGTTGTCTGTTCCGCCCCAGCCCCCAGGATCTCTGACATCCTGAGCTCTGTGAGAAGGGGCTCAGGAACCCCAGAAGCTGAGGGCCCCCTCTCCACGGGGCCCCCGCCCTGCCTGTCTCCGGGTCTCCTAGGCCCCCTGCCCACCCCGTGTAAGTAGTGGTGCCTGGCCTGCTGCCCCTCTGCCAGGCTCGCTGCAGTGGCCGTGTGCACAGCTCCCCACGGGCTAGGCGCCCGATGCCATTGCCAAGGCTCAGCTCCTTCCTGCCCTCCCGCTGCCACTGCACGCTGCCCACCTCCTGCCATCTCCCAGCTTGAGACCTCCCCACATCTGGGCAGCTGGCCTGTCCCCTGGCCACTTCACTGGAGATGCTCCAGCCCCTGATCTCACACCCAGATGCCCTGTCGTGGTCACAGCGCCCAGGAGCCTCTCCTGGGCTGCCCTCTCCTGGGCTGCCCTGGTCCCCTCCCTGAGCCTGAGAACCACTTCTGTAGTAGGGGGGTCAGGGAGGTGCTGGGACAGTGACCCTAACCACAGTCCCAGGGGCTCAGGGACCAGGAGTCCTTCTGCCGACTGGGGCTGCCCGAGTGTCAGGGCCATGCTTTCTCTCCGATGTCCCTCCTCCCGCCCACTATCCTCTGCCGCCTGTGCCGCACAGTGTCCCCTGGCTTCTCACCGCCCAGGCTGCCCTCCTCAGAGGGTGCCTCTGCCCATTCTGCTTCAGCTCTGCTGCCTGCAACCTACAGAGCTTTGCCTCCGTCCCAGTGCCACTGCCTATGTCCTTGCACTGCCAGCATCCTCCACATCCTCCCTGTCCTCATCTGTTCCCTTCATCCCCTGTACCTGTGTCCCCATGTCCTTCTCTATCCCTCATGACCCCTCCATATCCCAGGTCCCTTCCATTTGCCGTCTCCCCTCCATCCCCCCGAATCCCGTCCCCCACCCTTCCATTCCCCAGGATTCCTCTATCCCCTTATAACGCCCTCCTTCC